AAATGCAATGGAAGAAATATCCTCAGCTGAGGATTAAAAAAAAAATAGACATACAACACTGTATGTTTAGGTTGCACAGCATAATTATGGTTTGACTTATGTATATGTGAAATGATTGCCACAGTGTTTAGTTAACATTCAGCATCTCATAGGGCTACAAAGTATATTTTCTTGTGATAAGAACACTTAGGATCCACTCTCTTAACAACTTTCATATGTCATAAGACACTGAACCGCTTCCATTACACTGCACGTTCCATCCCCGAGAGGCGGGCGCTTTGAAGTGGCGGGGCTCTAGTCCGCTGCAAACCCTTGCTAAGCGTGACTTTCCCGATCCTGGCGCCCTTCACGGGTACTAGCTGCCATTCTCTGAGGAACCCCTGCCCACACACACATTCACACACTCACACACACGTACTGGTTTGTTTTAGTTTCCCTATGAACTTATGGTTTCCTTTTAAAATTTTTTCTATCAGATTTTTGGTGTTTTAATTCTCAGTTTCTAAGAGCTCTTTATGTGCTAGAGAGATTGCTCCGTATCTGTGAGGTTGCAAATACCTTCTCCCTGTTTGTCTTGATTTTGCCTCTGGTGTATTTTGCAAAACATGTGCAAGTTTTGACAGTTTTTAGGTCTTTTATCGCCTCTGGGAGTTGGAAGGAATTCACCTGTGTTTTCTTTGAGTATGCTCACAAAGTTTTCTTCTGTTATGATGTAAAACAGATTCAGAAAAACAACACAAAGCAAACAAGTTTTTAGAAGGTGAGCACCTTGTAACTGCCCCTGCCCAGCCCCCCCCCAGTCAAGAAATAGAACTTGGCCAGCCCGCCAGAGCCCCCCACTGTGCCCTGTCCCAGTTCCAGCACCTTTCCTCCCCATAGTAGTAACCGCTCTCCTCACCATTCTCGTAGGCATTTGCTTGCATTTCTTTATGGGTTTATCACCCAAGTGGGCATCCCTGGACATAGTTTAGTCTTGCCTATTTTCCTAAATTCGATATGTCCTTTAACCCATAGTTCCCCAGGGCTCCATTCCCGTTTTTTTCTTTGTAGTCTGTTAAAGAGCCAAAGCCAGTTGACTTGGAGTTTCCCGCAGTCTGGATAGTGCTGATTATATGTTCATGGTGCAGTTTACCATTTTTTTCTCTCTACCTCCTACAAACCAGCAGCTGATCTCCAGAGGCTCAGTAAGACTCAGGTTCAGGCTCACCCCTTGGGAAGATGGTAGGTAGAGGTTTGCTCTTGACCTGGAGGAGCGTAATGTCTGGTGTCTTCTTTTTGTGATACAAGCAGCAATTGCTGCTCAGTGCCTTTATTAATTCACCAGGGTTGTTCTGAGTCAGCCATTTCTGTTCTATTTGTTAATTGGAATATTTTTGTAAATAGACAAGTCAGTGGTTTTCTTCATTTAATGTAAGCAGGACAAATGCTTGGTTCTCTTTATTTCCCAGTTTTCCCAGTAATGAATTATTTCCTGTCATCCTCTGAAGATGATGATTTTAAAAACGTAATAATAAACTTATGGATTTAAACATATTATTACCTTTCTGAAATTGCCCCATCTTCTATGGCCAGTGGGGCCTTCCCCATGTTTATCTGAACCTTCAGGTTCCTTTGTCCCGTTCCTGTCCTGCTTGGATACTGCTTCACTCCACACTCAGCTCTCCAAGGTTTCTTTTTTCTGTCTGTGGGGCTCCACCTGGCAGTGAGCTCCGTCAGCAGCCCAGGCAGTCCGTTTTGGAAGTCCATGGGGGCCGCTTCCATGGGCCCCTCAGCTCTCAGCACGGCCGCTTTGTGGTCACCTGCTATGGGAGCAGCAGAAATCCCCCCACCTCCAGCTGCAGTTCGCCAGGGACCCGGGTACTTTCTGCTGCAAATCTGTTGGCTGTTTGGGGTCCTGCTCTCGGGGCCATCGGTGCTCCGTTGTTTCCCTGTTTTTTCCCAGATGCTGTCACACAGGCGGCTGGCTGTAACTTGTCTTTAAATGCTTGTGTGGGATCTGCAGGATTCCTCGTCATCTAGTCTCGCTGTAAATGTCTCTGGTTTTTGACTGTTTAAATTCAGTTTATCTAGGTTCTCAGATTCAGAAACTGTGCCACTGTTGCCACCAACTTTCCAGAATCCTCTCTGCTTTCGTATTTTACATTTAGATCTCTGGATTTAAAGGCATTTCAGTATATGACATGAGGTATGAGTCAAATTTTCTCTCTCGAAGACTGTCCAGTTGACTCACCACCACCTCCAGTGGCCATCTCAAAGCTAGTGATTTGAAGTGTTACCTTCATCAAATACTAAATTTCCATGTGTGCTTGGGTCTTATTTTGGGGCTTTCTATTTCTGTCCCATTGGTTTCTCTGTTGATTCACATTGTACACACTGTTCTAAGTATAACAGATTTTTTTGGTGGGGTTTTTGTGTGTGTGTGTGTGTATGTGGGGTTTTTTGGGTATCTGGCAAGGCTAGTCCCTCTGGAAGAACATCTCAGCCAACATCTCTGAATAATGCTGCTTCCCGTTTTGGTTCCTTCTTGAACTCAGAAGTGTGTCAGACCATCTCATTCTATTTATGTTCTTGCCCTTTTTCATATTTTCCACTTTCTCTAGCTTGCATGCAGAATAATTTCCTCAAAAATATCTTTTAGTTCACTAATTTTTCCTTCAGCTGTACCTTTCCTATTCTTTAATTCACACTTTGTTTTTAATGTTACTTATTTTTTATTTCTAGTCTTTCTACTTGGCCGTTCTTTATGGTCCCTTATTCCTTGCTCATTTTCAAACATCTTTTATTTCCTTAAATATATCACAGAGCTGTTTTATATTCCATGTCTTCCAGTTGTTTCCTTTAGTGCTTTTTACTTTTCAGCCGTGAGCTGCTAGTCTCCTGGGAACTGTATCTGTGGGAAGTCTGTGAGGAATTCCACCGGAGAAGGTGGTTTGCTTCTGCCAGTCTCAGTGCAGGCACCACAGACTCACAAACTCTTTAATAAAATAAATTCCTTTCTTCAGGCCTTTCTTGGATAAAAAAGGAGTTGAAATTATGTACTTGCACAGTCATCTCACATGGTTAAGAATGGCCCCGATCCACACACTAGGCTCTCTTGCTGTGCTTTTCATTGCAGGTTTATTTCCCACTCTACGTTTAAACCAAGGATATGAGTTTTTTGATGTTTCAGCTTTATAGAGGGGTCCTTGTCATGAGTCCCCACCTTGAGTGGAGCCCAAGTCTTTAGTTTTTGTCCCCCTGCACCTCTGGAAACTGAAGGGAGAAGCCCAGTGTCTTCAGGCTTCAGCAGAGTCCTCAGGGCAGAGCTGGCTTTGATATTTACCACCTGCAGGTGCCATTGCTTCCACTTCACTTTTGGCCTCACAGGTTCCTTCTTTTATTGCCATTACAGGCAATGCATTTTTCTTAATGTTTTATTTAAAAAATGTCAACTTTTCATATTAAAGTAATTTAGATTAAAAGAAAATAATGAAAGGGATTTCCTTATACCCTTCATCCAAGTTCCCCAAATGTGACCACTGTACAGAGGTTGAAATGAAGAAATTTATATTGATTGATACAATGGTATTATGTAATCTATAGACATTATTCAGATGTAGTGAATTGTCCAACAAATGCCACTTTCTGGTTTAGGATCTAATTCGGGATCATACGCTGCATTTATTGTCATGCCTTTTAGTGTTCTTTAACCGGGAGCTGTTTGTATTGATCATTTATGACCTGGGTATTTTTTAAGTGTTCTGGCTAGAACACCTATTTGGTAGAAAAGTCCCTCAATTTGGTTTGATTCAACATTGTCTTCTTAAAATATACCTTTCATATTTTATCCAGCATGTCAACTTTTACATTTGGCAGAGTTGTCTGAGGTCTCTAGAAATGACAATCCTAACTTGATTTTTAGATTATTTTCCTAGGCTAATTAGGTAACATTTTTTCAATGCAGGTTAACACATTATTGTCAGAATTTTGAGCAAATACAGGGTCTTTCCATCTTTCTGTTCTTTATCACTACTCATTTGTGTAGTACCTCAGTTCTTGAATAGCGTGCTTTCTGATGTGGTTACTGTCTTACATCTCTTTACCATACTTTTAAATGAGCCTAGTGTCCTCCTAAATGTTCGGCTTTGCATCCCCTACACCCAGGTGTCCTTCTGAGGATTTCACTTCGTGTAAGGCTTTAAGAAGGAGATAGGCAAGGTAGGCTGAATGCTCTGTCAGCTCTTTTAAGAGTTTCAAGTTGAAGAAATGTCATCAATAGCATTTTAAGATTATGCCACTGAAGTAGTTTAAGGCCCTGCTTGCTCTAGGGTCAATAGAAGAAAGAGGCATTAGCTCCAACTTTATTAGAGAACTGTAAAAGACTAGCAGTTTAAGGCAGTTAATTAAATAACATCATTAACAATTAAATGTGCAATAGTTGTAAATCAGATACTGGTTTTAGGTCTTATTTGTGACATGTCCTTGATGTGCGTGTGTGTCCAAGGATAGAGTAAGGACGGTGGGAGCCAGTGTCAGCTTCTGCTCTATAAAGGAAGAGCTTTGGAGGAGAGCTGACCAACGCTGCCGGTGGCTCTCAGGAGGCAGAGGGCTTCCTGTTGCAGGTGCCCCAACAGAGGGGTTCACACGGCGCGTGAGGACTGTGAGAGCATTAAAACTTTTCTGAGAATACATGTTGTTACCCATTTTGTAGAACATGGGGCATTATTGCACTATTTCAAACAGTATGGCATTTTCAGATGGTTTAGCTTTGTTTCATGGCCCCTGTGGTCTAGTTTGCTATCTTGTCCTTGGCAGGAGCGCAGTCCCCATTATAATGTTGCTTTGGGAGATAGTCTTTATGACAGTTTCTAGATACTTATGTCAAATCGGACCTGCCTGGGCTGGTTTCTCAAAATGTTTAATACTAGAATATTATTTTTTTCCCTTTTTAGTTCTTAATGCTGAAAATCAGAATAGAGATGATAAATTTACTTGATCAGCATGGAAAGAGGAATCACACAAACTGGAATCAGATACTTCGTGTCAGGACTGAACGGTGGTAACTACAAAATATTCATGAGGGATTGAATACTGTGAAATGTACTAAATAAAATGTACATCTAGAGATAATTATTGTGGAATTTTAGTATGTACTTTATGTAGGGAAATGACATTGTCTTTTAGACAGTCTTTTGGGGTTTACTTCTGAAGCATCTGTATTGAAGATGTGAAAGTGTGTTGGCTAAAAGATAATTCACAAGATCAACACCAAAATCAGAACACAAATTCTCTGAGTTCAGCGACAGTGGCACTTATTCTGGAATCCACCTTTGCTTAAAACAAGCCATCTTCTGATGCGAAGGAGAGGCCTGCTGCACTTAGAGATCTTTTCCTCGGTTCCTTCTCCAAATGCCGCGGCGAGTGACAGCACCAGCCATCACTTCTGCTCTCCCTGGTCAGCCCTGGTTTATGGGTTTCTGCTCTTCTGTGCTCATTCCTGGTTCTGACACTCAGTGGCCTGGAGCACTAACTGTTACCACCACTAACAGTGGTTTTAAATGAGTTTAAACATGAAGGTGTTTTGTGGGAGAATTTTTAAAAGATTACTTGTATAATAGCCCTTGTCATTAGTGTTAAGTGGCTTGTAATTTGAAAACTTGTGATCTGTACTTACTTTGCTAATATGTGTGGGCAAAGCAGAATCTTCTGTAATGAGTGCCTGTCACCAAGAAAAGCTACAAGTGGATTAGGCTTTTGACACAATGGGCCTGAGCGGGGGGCCCGGGGGGCCCGCCGCAGAGCGTGGAGGGTGGCACGGCAGGGCACCCCCGGGCGGGTTTGTTGTAGACACACTGCCTATTTGCTAGCACAACAGGAGGAAGCTGATGTTGAAGAGCACACACTGTGTTACAAGTTGGGGAAGCTTAGAAAGGGAAAGCGGAGATAGTGTTCGTTATAGTTTACATATTTAGCTTATGGGAAATGCCTATCAAAACTGATTAAAAAATCAAGTTAATGTTCATTTGAAAATGACTAACCCTAATTTACATTAGTAATAGCGATAGTAGGCTTGCCTTGAGTTGGTCCTTAGTATTTCAGGTCCATAGGCTTTCCCCACTTGTGAAAGACGGGCAAAGCCACACTGGCACTGAGCTCTCCACAGGGTAAGTGGGGACGCTCACTAAGACGCATTTGGAGTTACAGGACTGAGGTGCCGTCTCCTTGCATCGTTTGGTGGAACTCCTGGTCTTCAGGGAGGAAACGGGCCCGGAGAAGTTGCGGAGCAGAACCTGGCCTCGCCCACTGCGGACCTGCCGCCTCCTGCCCTGCGTTCGGGTCAGGCTCTCCACCTTGGATGTTCATGTATAATATCCTTTTACCTAATCGCTAAGATTAAACTTTTCCACCCAGAAAAGGCAACTGAAGACAAGGATAAAAGTAGCTTTATAAGATCTTATCTCAGTGCTGGTCCAGCCTCCGTCTTAGGGTTGGTTTCTCTCTCGCTTTCCCATAATAAAGCCTCTGTTCCCCTCCTGTTCCGTCGGCGCACACAGCTGCCGGGCAATGGAATACGGTTAGTTCAGCTTTAAAACTGCTCTCAGCTTTCCCCTCACCCTGTTTGCTCCCTAAAGAACCAGCTTTTAAATTGTGGCGGCGGGATGTCAGTACAAACCGCGTAACCCGTGGTGGTTTCATCTTCGTTTAGAGGCACCGAGGCCTCTGTTCCCGAGGCGCGCTCGGAGCAGGTTCCTGGGCAGTCGTCGTGCTTTATTACCACGGGCGCCCAGCCCAGGGCAGCACCCCGGAGGGATCACGGCTGTTTAATAAACGAAACGCACCCGTGTACTAGCATCAAGTAGATATCCAGCCTCTGACCTTGGTCTTTCGGTGTCGTCCAAACGTAAATCAGCAGCTATTCCAATTTTTAATAGGCATCGACTCTTTAATTCACACCGTCCTCGACTTTCAAACGGTGCGTGGACAGGGGCGATGAGTCGTTTATCTTCTCTCCTGCAGACAAGGCTGCGGGTGGGGATTCCCTACGCAGCCTGGGATTAGACGGAGCTTTCCTGAGTATAATGTAATCATGGCACAGAGCTAATGTTTGTGCTTTGGTGGGATGAAATTTGAGAACTAAACCTCTCCGTTGTATGTTGTTATTAAATAACTAGATTGATAACTAGCATGACTGTTTTCATTGGTAACAACTGGTTTTCATAGTAGAAACTGGAATGGTGAACAGAATTGTGAATTCATGGTCCAGGGGATCAGTTTTACTCCAATTATGTTTTAGCCTAAAAGGTTATTAAGTATAAATAATGAGAGTTCACAGGACACTAACAATTTCTAACACATCTCTGAAATGAATTTTAGAAAAAAATATAAATAAAGAGGTTCCATTAACTGGGTTATGCACTTTTTTTTTTTCCACATTAGATCTTGAAAATGTTCATTAGTGGCAGAAAGTTGGGGAAGAGTTTATTTTAGTTGTGTATTTAAATGTTTGTGTATTTGTATGCTATTTCTGAGCTCAGAGAGCAACATTTTCTTAAAGTGTACTAGGCCACTGTTCCTTAAAAACTGGTTTGTAAAGTTCTGACAATGTATACACTGAAGGATTACTGAGTAGGTATCTTCCCATGCCCTTAACTACGACCGAATGGCTTTTTTTCTCGTTGTGCATCTCTGGGAAAGTTAAATGGCTTTCAATATTCTCACCTTTAAACTATATGCACACTGCAGATAGTGAGTTTTACAAACCAAGGCCCTAACCAGTTGAGACAAATGCTTGTTTTCTATCCGTAGAATAGTGTGCTACCTTGTCCTAAGTTGAGTGATATAGATCATAAGTTGCTAATAAAACGTATATCCCCTACAGAGATTCTAGTACTATACTGGGTGCTTGGTAAATATTTGACTGTTCAGTCCAAATAAATGATTGATCAGAGATGTCCTAGATAACCTGATTTTCCATGTCAATGAAGTTTGCCTTTTAGAACCTTCATAAACATTTAGATGCATGTTAAACACATGGGAATCAGGATGACAACCTGCCTGGCTCTAAGAGTAAGCCAGTCTTTGTGGAAGGGTTCCAGGCGTTCGTTAGCTTGCTGCTTACTCATCAGTCTCAGAGCTGTAGTGAGTGACAGTAATGCACTGCCAGGGTGATGTTCCACACCTGCCTTTACCCAGAACTCACATGTTCACATTTAAACAGTCACCTGAGTGTTTTCACTCTCTAAAAAAGCTGCTGCACCATCAACATTTGACATTTTTGTACCATTGAACCAGAGTAGTTCTGTGACCTCAACCAGCAGCCTACAAATGCCAGGGTTTTCTTTTCCTGTAAAGGACAATCTTGCTCTGGTATTTTGAGATGGGCTCATTCAAAAACTATTCTAGAACTCAACAGGTTACATATCTGTGATCAAAACAAAGTACACCTTCCTTTAAGCTTCACTTAATGTTTGAATTGTAGACAGAAGGTTTGAGTTGTAATAACTACATGATCTTCCAAAAGCAGATAATTCTCTTTTTAAATGGAAGGAATGGAAGGCATTATTAGAGGACTACAGAAAAAAAACCTTACAATGTAAATGAATGCACAGGTGGACTGGTTCAGTCTCTCTGACAGGTCATTTCGTTTCTTCAGAATCAAAATTTTAAAACACTGTGCAGCTGCTCTAGGATAAAATAATTCAATCAATCATTTCAAGTTTTATGGCTCCTTATTGCAAAAGCCACCAGCTCTGGCTCCCTACTCAAGGATTTGGAGGTGTTTTATACACCAACTTGTGCTTGGATTGATTTGCAAACATGAGACAAATGAATCAATGTCATCAGCTCATGCAAACTGTTTAAGGGGAAGGCACCGGACTCCAACTTGCTACCTTCAAATTCCTCTGCACTTCCAGCCGTCCCGTGTTCCCACCATCAGTGTTTCTCTTACTAAAAATGGCAGTCAACCTACTGCCCTAATGGCCGCCTTTTACCTACTCAGTTTCCTCCAGGATAGCTCAATACCATCAGGACGTCTTTTGCACATTCAAAAAAAAAATCCACACTCCATTAATTGAATGGGCAGGTTCTGGGATGATGTCCCTCTTCTCAAATTTATACTACAGCTGGGAAAATAGAAACAACTATTTAAATTACAACTATAAGTGCTAAGTACTTTTAAAGGGCTTGGTCTAAACTTTAATCTTTTAAAAGTACTAAAGTAACAGTTAAGGACATTTTAAAAAATATCTACATTCTTACAGGTATATAATTTAACATGGCATGACACAGAATCACAATGCCCATGTAATTTAGCCTTTCTATATAGCTTAGATGAGGTCCCTTTCAAATGCATTTTGCCCAAATCCCAACAAGTGTTTAATAAATCCCTTGATTTGAAACTTCTTTTGGATAGTTTGTGTGAATTATTCAAACACTAAAGAGTCAACACCTTCAGCTCTTAACATATATCAACAAAATGCTATTGTTTCTCATCTCCAGTAACAGATTTTTGTCAAGAAATTTATTAACCTTTACAAACACTATTTTCACTCATTCATAAAAAATGATTTATGATTAAATCTGTAATAAAACCATATAACATTCATCAACGCATTCAACAAGACCAATTTCATCCATGGACATAATAAACCACTTTAAAACAGCAGTTTTCATTCACGTCATATAAGGCTGTCAAATTAAAAGAATTCCTTATAATGGGTTGTTATCCAAGAAATCCATTTCACTTCATGTTATATGGTAAGACTGATGGGTGAATCCTCTAAGAGTAGAATCTGAAAGTAGATTTTATCCCTTTATGGTCACCTTTCAGTCTCAAACAAGTTTCACAACAGGAAAATACTTGTGAGCAGAGAAATCAAATTCAGGAGGAACCTGTAAAGAAAATCAGAAAGTCAATTACTATATCTAACAAATATTCAGACAGTAAACAACATAAAGATTACTTTTATTTTAGAGTTTCCTATATTTTAAGAGACAAGGCAGCACAAGAGAGATTTTTAAAAAGCTGGTTAAATGAAAAAAACTAGTTAGGAACTAACTTGGAGGAAAAAAACGACTAGTTTCTCTGGCTTTATGAAGATCACTAGAAAACAAGCTGACCATCTATTTTCTATCTTTGGAGAATAGTTAACAAAGGAAAATGGACTTAAATTACAGGAAGAAGTCATGGGTTAGCAAATTTTTTAGTTCCAGAGTCACTGATAATACTGAGCAACGAAATGAGAGTCACAGGTAAAGCAGGGCAGGAGGTAAGATAGAAAAACAATGGGAGTAAACAAAGGTACATATAATGGGCAGGTGCCACCAAAAGTGCCTCAGCGGCTGGTTTCCAACAAGATGCAGAACCTCTGTGTTGAATGTTTATAAAGCACTGATAAAACATTATTACCCAGGAAGCTTATGGAATCTTCCATCTCCTGAACCATTGGAAATCTTACTGAATCATCTACTTTTCTAAAGGCAGATGACTTAAAAAAAAATAAAGTATTTTTTTAAAATATAGGAAGGAGGGAGAAAGAGAAATATCAATGATGCGAGTGAGTCACTGGTGGGCTGTAAAGGCAGATGACTTTAAATACCTCTCCCGTAAATGTATTTATACACATTTTCTTTTTTAACCCAAATCATTCAGTAATGACAGGGTGGGAGGGAAACGAAAAGGCAGACTTGAAATTTTAAGTTAACAATGTGTCTTAAGGCACAATGGCAAGCTCCAGTTTATTTTCTATTTCCTTCTGCTGAACCTCTTTTAGGATGACTTCTGACTGCTTAACTTTTTTGGAATACTTATACATCTTATTGAAAAAAAGTGAGGTTTTACAATAATTTAGGACCATTTATCTTCCCCACAATGTACTTACCTTAGATTCCTTTTTGTGTCCTCCTGCCAGTAACTTCATAACCACAAAGTTGGGTTTGGCAACCTTTAAAATTCTATTCACCTAAACAATGAGCAACATTTAAGCTATCAAAACACAAAATTCATAGTCAACATGTTTTTACATTACAGATACTAATAGGAACTTTGACAAAAGAAGTGTTGATATTTTATTAAATAAAAGCAACTTAAAATGTATTTTTTAGTAGCACAGAACCCTACTTTAGTCAACTTTGAAAACTTGAAAGGGCTACTGTAGGCTTGTTCTCATGAAAACAAAAGAACATTAGGCTGCAACGGCAGCACCATAGAGTGGGGCCTGGCTCTGGAGGAAGGCTGGCTGTTTTCAGAGTCTAGCTTGGCCACTTACTAGCTATGAAACCTCTGTCAAGTTCTCTAACCTCTCTGTTCCTCAGTTTCTTCCTCTATAAAAATGGGGGCAATAATTTTACCTGTCCCATGAGGATCTGTTGTGAAAATTAAATGAGTTCATATATATTATGAGCTGAGAACCAGGCCTGGCAGGTAGTATGTATCCTTTAAGTGTTAACTGTTATTATCTGTGACTATCGCTGTCTGAAAAGCTGCACTTCAACACATGAAAACCAATGGAATGGCATACTGCATTCCTCTTTAAGAGGGAGTAATGTGCAGCTGGAAGGAAAAAGTTCCCACTGTTGTCTTGCTGACCTCTCAGGAAAACACTTTACCAAAACTTCAAGAACCCCTCCTCCTCAGCTCCAGATCACACATCCAGCTGCCTTGATGACAGCTCCATTTGGGTGGACATCCAACAGGCATGTCCAAAACAGCTCCTGACTTCCCAGCTCTGCCTGCCTACCTGATCCTACTATACCTGCATCTCCCGCACATGACTCAATTCATCCAGGGGCTCAGGTCAAAAACCCTGGAGTCATCCTTGACTCTCTCACTCCACATCCAATCCATCAACCAACCTGCTGGCTTTATCTTAAAATACATAGAGAACGTGATCATTTCTGATCACCTCCACTGTCACCAATAACTCTTACTTGGGATACTGCTGTGGCCAACTAACCAGCTCCCCTGCTTCCACCGCTGACCCCACTACAGTCTATTTTCAGCAGACTGGCCAGAATGAATGATCCTTTAGAACACAGATCTGGTCACTCCTCTGCTCAAAACCCTCAAACAACTCATCCCTTGTTTACCCCACTCCAGCACACCAGTCCGTGGCTGTTCTTCAAATATCCCAGGCACACCCTGCAGGTCCCACTGCCTAGAAGGCTTCAAGGCTCCATCCCTAGATGGCCGCATGACTTGCTGCTTCGCCTTCCAGGATTTGCTCAAAGGCCACCGTACTTAAAAATGCCTCATCCCTCTAACTCCCTATCTCCTATAGCAATCCCATTCCCAGCTTGATTTTTCTTCATAATACTTATGATCTTCTAATATACTATTTTATTTTTACTTTTCATTTATTTTCTTTCTTTTTTATATTTTTAAATTTTATTTTTATCTTTTCATTTATTTACTTATTTACTTACTGTCTGCAACACATCACTCTCCCCAACTTCGAGGAGGGCTGGGATTTTTTTCACTGCTGGAATCTACCACAGTGCTGTAGGCATAGGAGGCGCTAAGGAAATACTCGTTGAATAAATGAAGTCCACTAAAAGAAATATGCCATTTATTATATATACCTTCCTCTAATTTTTATACTTCCCCCTTTTATTTTTACATGGTTATATGTGATTTAAAAAGTCATCTCTCTCCCATCTCTGTTCCCTAAGATACTCATCTCCCCTCCCAAGAAGCAAACACTGTTATTCTTACATATCTTTCCAGAAATATGTTGTATAAGAAAATACTTGCCCCTTTTGATTGAAATGGCAGCATACTATACAGTTTACTACCTTGCCTTTTAAACTTGTATTCCAAAGAACGTCCCATTACAGTACATAAAGGTCTCCCTTGCCCTTTTAAAGGCTGCACAG